ATATTCTTCTAAAATATCAATTGGGTTTCTCGACGCATATCTGTCGAAATTGGTGACCTTTCTACTTGTTCGTGTCGAAATTTGGTCTTTTTTGTTTTTTTTTTTATTTCGACACGATGGTGTCGAAAATTGACCAAAAAATCGACCTGTACGTGTCGAAAATTGCCGACGGGTTTCCAAAAAAAAAACTTCAAAATCGACTTCGAAGCTCAAAAAAGACATCGATACTTACCTTAATGGCTTCTCTTTCCACATATACTACCATATTATTGTCTTATAACTCCATTTTATAAGTTTTGTGAGGTTTTGATTTTTTGAATTTGGAGATGTTTTGGAGGATTTAAGAAGATGAAAAAGATAGAGTTTAATTGGGTTGTCGCGGCAGTTACGAGCACGTACAGTGGCGTTCGGCGGCGGCGGCGGCGGCGAGGGTTGGAGAGGAGAAGAAATGGTGGAGGTTTTTTTTTTTTTTTACAACAAAGGGTTTTTTTTTCTTTTTTTTTATTTGGTTTTTGAATAGGTAATTTCTAAAAAAAATTGATATAATTGATATTTTGTATGAAATGGTGTTTTTGTACTTTTCTTTTTATTTTGGTATTAAAGTAAGAAAAAACTGATAAATATGTACTCAATTTTGGTTTTAAACTTGGTAGTATTCAAGTAAACAAAAGTTGGGATTTAAAATAGTTGCCCCCTATATTGAATGGTTATTTGACATTCATATATAATAGATTTAAACCACTATAAATTAATATAGTTTTGACTAACAGAATTCCATTAATCAAGTAAAATATTAAATTATTGAACTAGTATTTAGTACATTTTTTTCCGACTCGAGACCGGAAGAAGTTATTATATTTAAATGATGTTATTAATTTATCGAGTGCAGAGGCTATATTGTAATATAGGTCTAGAAAGTGAAATAGAGGACAACAAAAGAAAGGAAGTAAAGAAGTTGATTAGGCAGTAGCTGAAAATGGAAGAAGCAATAGGTGTTGGGTTGGTTTATTTCTGGCACAGTTTCTCTTTGGGCTGTCAAATAAGTTTTTTTCTCCATAATCACTTTCTTTTTTTAAGTGGGGATTTATACTCATTTCTAATTCTTTATATTCTTCTTCCTTTTTTTTTCTTTTTCCTTTGGTTTCCAATGTGAATTGATGTCTACTTGCTCTCATTTAGTTGATTAAGCTTATTTTAAACAACTGATAAGTTCTAACATTCAATAAATAATTTTAAGAGCTGGTAAATTATTAGAATTAATTTTTAAAGTGATTAAATAATTAGTTTATAAGCTATTTCTACTCATTATAAAATCTTAAATAAAAATGTGGTTTTTATATAGTTTCTAGAAAGTAAAAAAAAAAGCTCTCCGGCAGCTTATCTTTTTAAATCTTAATATTCGTTTTCAAAATTTTACCAAACACTTTGAAAGTACGTATAAACTCTTAAACAACTTATAAGCTCTTAAACAACTTATAAGCTTAGCTAAATACCATCTATGCCATGATTTAACTAACTTTTGATCTTTTCTTAGAGGAGTTGGTTCATAGTCTAATGATGAAATCGTATCCCGCCCCAACTTTATAATTTGTAACATGATTCGAATTTTAGTATTTGTGTCGGACCTCCCCTAATCTTATCTCGGAACGTAACGTGTTAATGATGCAAGCTTAATTCATTATGGGGTCGTTAATAACTTTTTTGTATTAGGTCAAATAATTCTTGGTACATCCAATCTAATACAATGTTTTCATTATAAGGAGAGATGGGCAATAACTTTTTAATTGGGAGATTGTAGAAGAAATTGTAATAATTAATAGCTTAAAATAATAAAGGTTGAGATGTCGTTTTATTGTCATTTGTATTTTGTACAAGAAAAATAGACAAAAAGACAAGCCCCTAAGTAGGCCAGTTGTATTAGGTAGTTTGGAACTTGTCATCAAGTTATAAAGATTTCTAAGAGCTTTCTAAACAAACCTATGGATTACACTTACATTCTAAAATGTAATCCTCAACCGTAGTATTACTTACATCAATCCCACCAACAATTAGGGAGATAAAATACTATATATAAGAACACAATCAATGTTGAAACATAGATGAACCCAACTGATTTTTTATGTCTCGAAATCGGCCATCGGCTCATTGCAATCTCTGTATTCCAATCGTACCGTCACGCCTTAAAATAAAATTGGAGTTTCCCAAAAAAGTAGTTGATCGGATTTTTTTTTTATATATAGAAATTAGAATAAACAATTTATTAAGATTTCTACTAATGAGCCTTTGAGTGAAGACGGTTTCGCACGGAGATGAAATCTGGAGGCAGGGGTAGATATTTTTCTTAAACGATTATGATCTTTCTTTGAGCGGTGATGAAAACGATCTTTCTTTGAGCGGTGATGAAAACTGGAGGCAGGGGTAGATAATCTTTTATTCTTCCGTGCATGAATTGAAATGAATCGATGGATTCTGACACATTTTATATTTAACATTTTGAATGACCGTGGATTCGGATACATAGTTGAATTGAAACTGGACATGGACTCGGAAACTAAAACTGAACTAAAATTCCACTCTAACAATGTATGTAGAATGGAATACATAGTTGAATTGAAACTGGACATGGACTCGAAACTAAAACTGAACTAAAATTCCACTCTAACAATGTATGTAGAATGGAAAATCAGAACGCTTGTTTTCGGTTTCAAATTCCCTACTGAATTCAGTTTCAATTTTACTCTCTTATATATATATATATATATATATATATATATATATATATATATATATATATATATATATATATATATATATATATATATATATATATATATATTAATATGATCTATAAATATCCAAACCATCATCTACCATCAAATCATAGAAAATTTAATCAAACTGGACAGATTTTGATAAAACTTCCATTAAAAAAGGTCAGATATCAAATGATTCTATACTTGCATGACTTATTGCAAAACATATTTTTTCTTGGGACAACATAAGCCATGAGTGGAGAAGTTACGGAGCCTCCTTTTTTTATGGTAAAAATAATCTAACAAAACTACAAAAAGTAAAAATATTTTCAAGAAATTCTTTTTCACCCCTCTTTTGGACTAGACGAAAATCGATCTCGAAGTAGTGGGCATATAGTTTTACCAACGGTCAACAAGATAATAAACAAAACCCATACGTCTAACAATAAGGTAGCAAAAGAGCCACATTTAAAGTTCGATCACGAGATACACAGTGAGTTAGCTTTATGTTGTTACACTCATTCTTTAACGAACATCTTCCTGAACTCATCATTGGATTTGGGGTTTTCATCCTCGTGTTCCTTAGCAGCTCCTTCAGATTGTGGTTTACCTCTGAGTTTCACGTTTCTTGGCACTGCAAACGTGTTCCTCCCTTTCAGCTTGATATCTTCTTCATGCCTAGCACTCGAAGATTGTGGCTCGGACTCACTTTTCCCTTTGGAAGTTTCTTGTGACTCCGTTTTATCTGGATTGTTCGTCCTTTTAGCATCATTACCTGTCATTTTGAGATGCAACAACATAAGTACATAATAATAAATGTCGATCAATATATGAAACTTAGGCAGTTCTCGAATCAATAAGTTTTAATTTCCTTTGGCAGCCGAAGAAAGAAAGGAAGTATAGAGACTTAGATAAGCAAAGATCAGACATGGTTTCGATTTATATCACAACATTGTGCTAGGTGTCTAACGTTTACCAGATCATTTGAAACAACGAGGGCAATGGAAAGTAGAAGAAACAAAATGAATATCGAAAAAAGTAAGAAACGCGCTAATCTCAACATACCATGCTCTGATGATCTGATGCTTCCTCCAGGCGCTTTTTTCCTGCTGCCTTGTTTCGGGTCCGACTTTAAAATGCTTAATCTCTTGCCTAAATAAACTTGCTTGTTCTTCTGCAAAGCCGCAGAAAGGTGTGCATCGTCCGAGAAATCCACATATGCTAATCCCTTCATGAAGAGATTCACGTTTAATAAATACCAAGGACGAATTAACTTTGTCGGACTCATCTTTGCACATGCAAACACAAGTCAAGCACAAAGAACAATAATTTGCAACAACAGACAACTCATGGTTAACTTCAATATCCAAGCTGAGTAAAATGTTTCCGGAACTTACTCTTGATTTTTTGGTGAACTTGTCCTTCAATATCCGAATAGCGACAACTCCACCAACATCAGAGAAGAAATTAATCAGATCGTCATTGGTTGCCTGAAGAAATTACAATTACATATAAAATAAGAACGAATTGCTTTATCCATGATTCAGTTATAAACGGTAAGAGAAGTGATACGATAGCAAGAGAACATGCCTGGAAATTTAGATTAGAAATAAAGGCTGTGCATTGATCATTAAATGGCGCAGATATTTTAGAGGATTTATCCCTTGTTTCCTTACTGCTAGCACTCTCTGCTCTGTTTGTATCTAATTGGGCAGCATCACTTGCTTCAGCAGAGAGTCTTCACCTTACCTTTTTCTTTCTCGTTTATTTTCTTTAATTTTTCAGGTGTATCTTCTGACGCTTAGCTGGAGACTGTTCATCGGTTGAATTCGGAGTTGTTTTTCTCTTTTCCTGGGCATTCTTCCGTGTAGGATTTTCTCTCTCATTTGTGACTGGACCAACATTTTTGCTCTCCTGCTGCAACCTAAAAAGCTGCAGTTCCTGAAGACGAGGAGCTACCTGTGACAATATGAAAAGAGGATGGCTGAGCTTATGAAGCTTGACAGTCGCTAACTATAATAAAAAAAAAGAGACAGCAAAACATGTTGCTACAACCAGAGTTATCACCAGGATTTTATAGGTTAGATACGTGAGGAGTGAAAGCAAATACTGGGCTGACATAAAATACAACATAAGTAAGTAGGCCAGTTGAAAATAAATGAACGTTGCAACTGGGCTGATAGATCTGTAATTTTTCACCCATTTATCTCTTTTGCACGACATTTTACATTAATCTTTACAATCAGGAAACATAGATTCAAGAGTAAACAATACTAAAAAAATCCTTTCACCAGCAAAACAACGGCAGTAGATAGCACAGTGCAAAATAAGAAATGCACCATTTCTCACAGTATGAGATATTATTAAGTAAAGAAGTTTTTGAAATTATTGGCCCCAAACTTAAATAAGAAAAAATAATAAGCAACGCGATACGATAAGAAAAATCAAAGTAGAAAAAGCATAAAATGAGTACCTTCTTAACAGCAAAATCATAATCCTCCAGGGAACTATATTCTCTCTCAAAGCGTACCCACGAATAGCAGATGTCCTGAATGATTCTGTTTTTTAGGAAATGAAGGTATCATCTAATTCAAGGTATCCAACATTAGGCAGACTTTGAATAACAAAATAAGACCTACACAAGTCATATAAGCATTCATCCCATAACAGCTGAAAGCTAATGATTTTCTATTTGTCTTTGATCTCTCGTGTCTAGTCCATTTATCTCTTACAGAATGCCTCATTTTATTTTTCCTTTTTGTCCAGTCATACTATCATATTTTGATGATCAGGATTGCCTTCTTGTCTATTGACATCTAATTAATAGGAGTAGTCATTTATGCATCTTAAAATAGGTACCTGAGATGCGGAAGAGAGAAACATAATCCAACAGCATTAATGCTCTGGCTAAAAGGCAAATAGGTAACTTACACAAGGAAAGTCTCTAACTCACAGGAAATTTAATGAATTTATGCTATCAAAAAATCTTTTTAAAAAACGGAGTCTTGATTGTTCTAATTTTGTGAAGGAAGTCCATCCAAAATCTTTTGTGGCACGAACTAATATCTATATCCTCAGCTGCGATCTTTAATTCAAATTCAGATGATTCACAGGTAAAAACGACTCGTCGTGATAAACAAGAACCTGATACTCAGTGTTTAGTTTAATCACAGTCATCCATGAAAAATATTGAAATAAATACAGAAAGTCATTACTCATTACCCTTTCAAATCATTATACAAGTTCATAACAAAGCTATTTCCTATAGAGGAGTAAAGACAAACTGCAGTTTTAACATCTATAATCAAGCATTCACAATAAACAAGATGAATAGTAACAAAATAAGAATTTACCTCTGAACCTGTCCCGGGAAACCTTTTACTGTAGCATCTCTTATAAAGGGATCTGGCTTCATTTATCTTGCCCATCTCAATCTCCCATGTTATATATCCTCGCCAAGCTTCCAGCATAGACCCACTGGGAAAAAAAACAGCAAATAAAGTTATATGATTCTAAGAAATAAGTACGAACATATCACTGCACCAAGCAAAAGAGGAAAAGGAGAGTAATGTTACCTAATTTTAATGAATCTTTCCCAGACACCACGAGCTGCAATTAAATCTTTTCCCAATTTGAACTCTAAGTGAGCCCAATAACTGTGCATGCCAAGTAAACTGTCTGTGTTGCTGAGGTGTGGGGACAAGTAGTCTGATGCACGCTGAAACCAAAAATGTTTTTGCATTTACGTTATAAATAAGACCTTTCTGATTGTGATACTCTCATTTAAGGACATAACAGATTCATATAATCGCACACAGCATTTATTGTGGTTAACACTAATAACACTCTCGGAGGTAGACTCATTTATTTTGCACTGAGCTTCGATTGATAAGTAAATAAGCCCTAAGAATAATGAAATGCACATAACCACGACCCACATATAATAGTTAGAAGCAAAAAGATTCTTATAGATGTCAAGACCAGATTCTTATAGGAATAGTATAGTAACACTCAAAATGTTAAGTATGCAGTGCAAAACCTGAAAAATATCCTTATACAAGAAATTGATTTTAGAACTTATAAGGTTTAAGTACACTGTTTAAAATATTAAAACTCAAAAAGTTCAAGCATACAGTGTAAAACCTGAAATACGTCTCTTATAACCGCGTAATCCATGCCTTCCCCAACTTTTGTAGATGCAGATAATCTCCGCCTTAACCCATCAACTCTCGTGAGAAATATATTGAGGTACTGAAACAAAAAATGAAGGTCAATTGAGAAATTTATGTGAAAACAACAACCAATGCAATAAAGATTGAGGATAATCAAGTAAATAATAGTTCATAACTTCATCATATAACTACAAAATTCCAATGATGTGCATCATTCCTCGTTTTACAATCACATACATAACCAAAGAAACTAAAAGCACTCCGCCCACCTTTCAGTTCCCAAAGTTCCGAAACTCTACAGAAGCAATTCACAAGTGCAACAGAAAATTCATAAGCAGAATGCATACAAATCTATCAAGCTTCTGGTTTAGTCACAGCTGTTCTTTTGGATTTCAGATTTTAAATCTACACATCTTTAAGTAATTTCTGATCTTCTTCTTCCATTAGCCACAGAAATGACTATCTAAGCCATATTCAAAAGCTTATCCCTTATAAGAACATCCAATAAACTAGCTTCTGAGCAGATCAGTATCTTCATTAATATCTCACTAGACTACTCTGGCTGGATGAACTGAAAAATCAATAAATAAGGATAACCCCACAAAGTCATGGTTATTCTTCATCCTCATCCCCCAATCCACCCACCCCCAAAAAAATTGTTGAAGATTAATTAACCCCTTCAATCCGTACTTCGTGTTTACGTAATACAGGGATTTTCAATGATAAGTTACATAGACGGCATTGAAACTAACTATCAAGTAAGACTGAAATCACTTCCAAAATAATTAATCATTTTATCCCTTTACCTCGTCAAAACTTGAAAAAGTGCACAGCAGTGATTTCTCAAATACCTGAAATAATAAGAAATTAGAGAAACATAATAGAAAAGGGCAACAAACAAAGCATTAATTAAGCAAAACTGCATAAATGAATTAAAAATCATTATAGGTAGCAAGCAAATGTCTTGCACACTATGTTCCGACACAGCAACAGTATATACTGCTCGTTTTGTCAAATAGTACAAGAGTGTATTAAGTTCATTTAGTCAAACAACAGAATGGAAGAAACATCAGATCCTTAATATGCCCAATAATCTGCTCGCATATGTTAAATGGAAAATGACAAGGTGCACATGCAACACTATGTGTTAGGCTATCAGAAATTGTTCATAATTTGAGTTAAATGCCTCCAACACCAAATGCATTAATAATCACCATATACACTCTGTGTTTACCGTACACAAAATAAAGTTGAGAACAATATAGAGGTATAATCTTGCATCAGTAACACAGCTATAGTATAGGCTTATTAAGGTATATAGAAACATACAGTTGATAACTCTTCCTCAGAACCACCACTGCGTTCAAGCGAGAGTAAGTAACGAACCCACAATTCTCCTACCCACGGACAGTTCCTTGTCGCCCTGTAATAAGCATCCCTCACAATTCTGGCAGTCTGCAATGCATCAACTCTAAATGTGATTATCGTAACCTAAAGACAATAAATAAGTCATTTTAATACGAGAAAAAATATTTAGAGAACCTTGAATGTTTTATCCAGGTACTGAGTATAGTCTAGCCATAGATCACTAGATATAGGAAAATTAGCTATAGCACGTTCGTACAAGATCTGTATGCGGGCTGGATCACCAAATGAGTGCTCAAACTTCAAATAGGTCTGCAGAATCATGAAATCAGTAATAAGCTTTTACAAAAAGTATTCTGGAAAGAAAAAACAATAGAACAGGAAACTGCAACAGCAGATTAGTGAGGTTCAGAGAGGTCGATGGTTCAGCTAAACAGTATGTATATTTAATCAACCTATCAAACCTTTTCATGATCAAGGATCCAGACTCAGTTTGACTCTATGCACACGTTAAAAGGAAAATGCCGCATGTATTAAACAAAGAACAATCCTCTTAAATATTCAGCAACAGGAGAAAACACCTCTAAAAACTTTCAGCATCCAGCATTAGCAGAATAGTTCTAATTGGCATTTCCATTTGTATCATCTTAACCTACTTCTTAATCCAAATCCAGACCTATCATGGTTTTCACAGGCACTCCATTTTTGTAAATACTTCATCTATCTTTTACTTATTGTTTAGGTGATAACTTGTTTTTCAAACTGTGTATACAGATAGGTCAATAAAATAAAGTACCATGAATTCGAGAAGTTTTTCTGAGTCAACATCCTTCTTGGAAATACTTTCTTCAAATTGAGCACGAGCATTATACATTTCCAATGCCTTCTGATATACAGAGGCAGCATGAGATGAAAGACCGTCGAGTTCTGAACTATTAACATCATGGGGACCCCCATGATCAGCCTCCCAGGCCTTGTACGCAAGAAGACTTGATTTTAGGTTAGCAAGGGGAATAGACAATTGGCGATGAAATAAACTCCGTATGTGCTGAATCTGCTTTTCTTTTGCCTGCAATGAGAATTCAACATAAATTGACAAGAAAACGCATATTTTCTGATTATTTTATCAAAAACTAGTTGAAACAGTTCACAAGATAAAAAGGCACAAACATACCAAAATTCATTGAATTAAGTCAGCTTCCTTCTGCTAAATTTAGCAAAAGTTTATTCTTTCCTTTTTTTTGCAAGTCAATTCAATATCTGACAAATCTTCATGTGAACTCTGCTCTCTAACACTTGTATTTCAAATCACAGATAATGACAAAATATTAAAAAAAATGGAAGAGGGGGAGTAGAGTGGAAAAGACTAGTGCAGAATCAAACTTCTAGATAAGCCTAAATCTTTTATCTCTACTACTCATCATGGGGAAAAATACGAAGGAAATATAAGCAAATAATATCCTATAAAAAGAAACGTATTATCCTCAATACGGACTTCACATGCACTGAAGCCAAGTTCGAGTGCATAGGCAATCACCCATAAGGCCATGTTACAAAAGAAGTTTGTTTTCGTAATCTGCCAGCAGCTGCATGTTTCAAACATGTGACACAGAAGTTGTTTATAGTTTTGAAGCCCTATTTAAACAAAAAATATTAAAACCCTAACAAGAATTTCCGTTAATCTGTATCCAAACATGAAAATTATCGTAATCTAGCCAACCAATTGACACGTGAGAAAACTAGCAAAAAAGAAGAAAAGTAAAAGACCAGTCATAGCAAATACCACAAGTGTATTCCTACACAAACAACAACTAAATTTCCACCATGAATTAAGATCAGATACCAGTAGCACAAGCAAGTGGATAAAATTTGTATATGGTAGATTTTTTAAATTTGATAAAGTTGTATTACAGCAGAATTTCTCACCCCAGGGTCAGTTTCTGCAATGGTGACAAAAATAGCTTCTTCAAATTCCCTGTACAGTTCCCATATCTTGTGACCTTCAGTAACATGCACCCCACCAGCAGTAAGAGCACGCTCAAAGAGATTCCTTGCCTTCTTTATGCCGACGGCAGAACATTCACGGACAGATGGATCATATTCTTGGATAAAATTTAAGTAGTCACACCACAGGGAAACAGACTGTACAAAAAAACATCAGTCAATCATACATTTTGAAAACTCAAGTCAAATCACAGATAAGAATATATAATAACTGCCAGAATAAAATTCCAATTGAATATTGAAACAAAAACAGACAAAGTTGTTAGTTGTGATGTAGAAACATATGTCAGGAAGCCTAAGCATATCTAACAGTACATTTCTCATGTTAACAGTACCTAACTGCTTCAATCTAAGCTACATTTTGGTAACCTGAGGATAAAAGATGTTTGGAAATGTTCACATACAACCATAAACCATGGTAAGTGATGAATGAACTTTCTGTACATCCATTACAAAGCCCATCTACTTATTAAAACTCTGTATCATAGTTTTTGAATCGTAAAGCAATTGAATTTTTTTACATGTGAATCAAGACACCTGATACATCTTTATTATCAGAAAGCAAACAAAACTCAGGGGAGCAGCAGAATAATGAGAACTTGGAGAAAAGAATTGATTTAAAAAACAAGGACACATCAACACATTCATCTAGGGCTGGGCAAAAATTACCAAATACCGATTACCACGGTATACCTACCACAAATTACCGAATAAATACCGAACTATCGGTTACCACTGCATTTAGTACGGTATCGGTACCGTACCATTGTCTTACGGTACGGTAGTGGTATTATATCTTCAATACCATGGTAATACCGTACCGTACCGCAACTTATTTTAAAAATTAGTTAACATATTTTTCCATTTATATTGTTAAATAAAAAAAAATATAGTCAACAAATATTATTAAAAAAATAAAAAACAAGAATAAAGATATGATACATCCTACATATATTATATATACATTATTATAATTTTTTTTTACTATTTTATATTTATGCAAACTCAATACTTGGCTCTCGTTGAAGTTGTTTATGTCACATACTTCTTTAGTTTCAAAGTCCAACTAATCTCTTATTGGTGGAATAATTTTTGCCATAATTTTCTTCTCCCTTTCTTTCCTCCCTAAGTTCTCAGCCTTTTGTTTCATTTGCATTATTGCAACATAGTTTTTTTTCTATTTCTCTTTATATAAACCATGAAACTTTTTTGCTCATTAATTTCTACAATTTTTCTATAGATATCTTAGTAATCATTAGTTAATTGAAGTGCTATTACGGTCGTATAATGTACATTCATGTAAATTTCCTGATTACCATATTCATTTGCTTAATTTGTTGTATTTATGCATTTATTTAGTATTCATCTTAATTATGGTATTATCCGAGTTAATCAACAAAATGATGTACGGTAGATTACCACGTACCGATCATACCGTACCGAAACTAACGGTATACCGAATAACGGTATACCGCAATTGTTGGTACGGTAACGGTATAGAATTTTTCAATACCGAAAGATACGGTAGGTACACGGTATTGAACAAAATGTTCGGTAACCGTACCGAAACCACCCCTACATTCATCTACCTGTCCCATTCTTATTCGTATATTAAACATCACATTCATAAATTCCTAGACCCTCGGCATATCTTAGCAAACATAAACCCTTAAACCTCATGTTGGTGTTATGCAAGCTCCGCTCAGAAAATAAATAACCCGAGATTGAATTGATAAGTCCTGGTGCAATTTGGCTTCATTCGCCTCTTTCATGCAGCTCCTATTAAAAACCTACGGAATTTATTTTTTACTGATTGAAACATGATCTGGAACAGTTTAAACCACATTCAATTTGATACTTGTAAGGACTACTCTATGAAGCTTGTCATCACCACACACTAATGCAAGGAAGACATTGACTTCTGAACATAATTTTCTTCAACTAGCATAGGGAACGGGAACGGTTGATTCTATTCATTTACATTTCAGAAGTGCAGTATAAAAACCTACCAGATAATCAGAAACACCTCGCTCATACAGCTTTTCAACTGCAGGGACTCCCTCCACTCTGCAAAAAAGATGCACGAATAAGAGGGTTTAACTAATCATTATCACATTATCATGCTACAAAAACTTCAATAAGACATATACCTGAAACTTTATTGTCATGTGTATCAACCAGGATATGAACAAAAGATATAGCATAGATATGGGTCAAGAAAGGAAAGCATAAAAAAACAATTTCATGCTCTCGTACAGACTATGAGCTCTCACTATAAAGATAATTAGATAAGGCATATGTTGGATACTCCAATATACAAATGTTCATGTTGAAGAATTAGAATACGCATCATTTTTACCATACCGTTAACATATCTGAACTGACCTAATTTATCACTCATATCCACCAGCCCTATCGAGATATTAGTCAATATATTTCAATGACAGTGTTCAAAATCATGGTCCACATCAGAATTGAACGTCTTAAACTCTTTCAGGCATGGTTGATTTCTCTACATCACGGAATATTGGTGGATTTTTTACATTGAAGGACTTCACCATGTAGAAAGATGAGAATCGTTCATTCACTCAGAATCTACCGTATATAGTCATATTACACAATTTACAGCTTTCTTCATGGCGACCTAAATAAGACCAGCATAACTTACTGAACCTGTATACATAAATTATGTGTAGACAACAGACAAGTTGTAGTATTTTTCCTGCTCTACTTTCTAATTAGCCATACCAAGTCCTCCTTAGAACAATCTTACGAACCATATGCACTCATCATTCTCCATTTTGCAATAACATTGTCTGGAAACAAATAGATTTTGCGCGATGGTGTTCGGGGACTTAAAGAAACTATATCATCTTAATTATCAGAAAAAATAAAAGGACTACTGTCTAATGAGATGCGTTTAGTGCAAATAAAATGATAAATACACCAAATTTCTGAAATACTGTTCGCATGGAGAATCAGGAGTTACATATATTCCAATAAATTCAATCATCCAATTGGCTTCCTATATAACCGATGAGTTATTGAGCATCTTAAAGTGTCACTATTTTTTGCTTCTGTAGTTTGTAACCAGTACTCATAAAGAACAAAGGTGAGGGAGAGCATCATCTAGTGATAAATAAAAAATAATACAGTCAGAGACTAAAGTTGTCACGATTAAAACACTGATTCACTGGCCAGTGGCCACATTTCTAGGAATTCAAGATTGAGAAGAAAAAAATCTTCACAATTATACTGGGGCATATATGCTAAGAAAGATAGAAACAACACAAGGGATATACCCGGAGCTCATGGAAGTCTCGTCTTTAGCCCATTCCTGCCACATTTCGGGACTCAAAGGGAATAATGAACTCATTGTTTCCCTTGCTTGTCTCAGCTTCTCTATGTCGCCCTGCTTCCGCAGAATTTTAATATACTAAAACAACAACAAAATAGAAGAAAAAAGAAAATAATGTCAGGAATAAGTCAGCTAGTCTTCAAAGTTGAAACTTCAAATAATGGATAAGGCAATATCATTTGTGATCAGATATGTGCGTGTGAGGGAAACTGTGATTTTATGGAAAATATTTCCATTAGATATGTATGCATATTGTAAAACAAAGCTTGCCGATTGAGAGGAATCATCTATTTCGCGGTCTAGGCAACCAAAAGTAACAAGTTAGAATCAGAAGAAACAAAAATACTAGCCAACTTGCAGCAAAATTATAAACATATCAAGTTTTAACCTTGGCCACCCAAACACAATGCCATACGAACTTCTTGGGAAATGAAACAGCAACAGAAATCTCCAGACATTTCTACATCACTTTCTCTCAAATTTATAAATAAAACATTCGTATAGATTAGCCATTATTGAGTCTCGTATCTCGATACAAAAAATTCTACTAACAGTGCCCTAACCACCTCAAAAAAATGTCAAAAGGAAAGACTCAACGAAAGAGAACGTAAGCTTCTTAAATATTGTAAATCCGTGCATTTTCACTTCTACTGCTATACGACCGACAAAGATTTACCATGCCAACAAATCACTCATCACTACGCGTTCGTAATCAAACTCCAAAGGTTACAACGAGAACAAATTTAGTTTCACTCATCAAAGAGACATTAGTTATGCACCATTGAACCGAATCCTCGAATAAAATAAGGATAATTTACATACACAAAAAAAAATTCCAGAAAATGCAGCACACGTTAATATTATGTATATTTTGTTAAATGGTTATATAAACACAGACAAGTATGAAAGGGTTTTTGCGGCAGCAAATTGGCACTGGAAGCTCTGTACCTGGACATGAGTATCGTAATTGGATGGATTATTGGACAGCTCTGTTTGCAGGGATTCAATTTGCGCCTTCGCTTGGGCTTCATCCTCGGAGTCCGAGTCGGACTCGGACTCGGAATCGGAATCGGATTTTGAACCGTCGCTGGGGTTTTGTGCTTCCGGCATGGAAGTGTCTTCGTTTGTGTTGGTGTCTTCCTCTATGGGAGAGTATTGGGCAGCAACTAGGGCTTCGGATTCCGCCATTTTTTTCACAAATTCGAAGCTTTTGGTGAAATTTGCGAACATACAGTTCACGTGTAGTTGTCTCGTTTGAGTTAAGCGCTTTTGTTTTCTACAAGTAAGAATTTGATTTTTCTTTTTCTTTTTTTCGGTTTTATTTAGAGAGAGAAGTATGAATTTGATTTTATGAGTTTTGATTATTATTTTAATGTTATTTTTCACAAAAACTAATATTGCAATAATTAGATTACCCGCTCTTATTAAAAGATTATTCCATTAATTACGAATTAGTATATCTGAGATCCTACACTTTTTATATCATGATTTCACTATCATTCCATTCCATGAAACAAAATTTTTATTTTCAAATTTTACTAATAATAAAAATTCATTTTAGAAGGTAGAAAAACTTAGCTTAAACTTTTTAAAAAAATAAAATTAAACTAACTTACAACGGCCATATTTATGAAAATATTGACTCCCTACAGAATATAAAACCTGTGAAATTGTTTTTTCTTTTAACAGTAAATTATGACCACCCATGACATAAAATTAAATTCCGAAAACAAAATTCTCATTTTTTGAAAATTACAACCAGCCATCAACTATATGATGTCAAATTTAACAAAATCTTCTAATTTCCGTAGAATCCAAAACGCATAACTCGAAGCTTGAATAGGGTAAAACCGAACAAACTGAAGAATATTCCACATAATCTATAAGATTCCACTAAATTTGACATGCGTGTAAGAAAATTAATATTTGAAGGAGGTGGCTGTAAATTGTAATTAACAAATCATGAAGGATTTTTTTATAACCTTTTTTAAATGATACTCCTTGCAATCTAAAACCATTGTTGATATATTAACCTCGTTTAGGGGGGGAAAGACGGCTACAAATCTCATGAAAAATAATTGTAAATAAGAAAAAGCAACAATTACGAAGGAAAATTCAGACAAGAGCGTCGCTCCATTTTTAGCAGTAATACGTTCAGCAGTTTGATGTTCGCATAAAATATGACAACTACATTCCAACCGCACAGTAGTAGTAGTAGTTTGCATGGGATTGATTCAAAGCAACAAAGTATTCGTGCATGCTCGTTAAACTCAGTACCATAGACATCTTGCAACCAAGGGCCAAATTCGAAGTCTAAGCATAGTAATTCAAGCTGGCTTTCTTTTTCGCTTGAACTTGGATTATACCTTCATTAAAATCTTCATGGTTCACCTATTCCAAAAAAAGATGATCCATTAGATTATTATATGCTCATTTACATATAGAACTCGAACAAATAAAAAAACTTGAATAGATCGAAGCACAAAAACAATATCAATATATAGCAACGGGGCTTTTAATCTTCTACCAATTTTGACATTAAAATTAGGAGTTATGATCATTACACTAGGGCTCTAATTGTTACAACTGTTATCGGGCGTTCTTATTTGGCTTCGGTTTTAAATAAGATTTCGAAACATAAAAGCTCTAAAAATCCATTCACACATAGGAATTCCCGATTATATGTATAAACATGGAACTGATGCATATGCTATCACAGCACACACATGGGCATCATACACAACAGCATGTATACATGTACGTGCACAGACAGAAACTAACCTCAGTTGCATCACGACGAAGTGCTAACATGCCCGCTTCGACACAAACAGCTTTAAGTTGAGCACCATTGAAGTCATCGGTTGAACGAGCAAGCTCCTCAAAGTTGACATCAGGATGAACATTCATCTTCCTGGAGTGGATCTGTAATATAGAGTTAAGAAGACAAAATCAGTATTCAGTAACACGTACTCATAAAAAGATTGCATCTACAAAAATTGGAAATGATATGAAAGACCCACCTCAAAACAGGCTAAAGCACTAATAAATTCAATAAGCAACAAAATATATAAATCCTCAACTACGAGGTATACCTGCAAAATACGAGCCCTGGCTTCCTCGGTAGGATGGGGAAATTCAATTTTACGATCCAAACGACCAGATCGCATCAAGGCAGGGTCTAAGATATCTGCTCGATTTGTTGCTGCTATTACCTGAACACAGAAACAAGTGTATCAAGAACCACAATGCTGCTGATAATAATATGAACTAAAAAGGAAGGGAAGACTTAATACAGCAAGAGCAAACAATATTGAAATGACAGTATAAAGTGTGTGGAAAGATACCACGAGTATTAGGGTGAGGAGGGTAGTATTAGGTCGAGGGTTCAACCTTTTTTGGGTTCGGTTGTAAGTCATTTATAAGGCCATTTTCAAAAAAAAAAAAAAAAAAAAAAAAAAAAAAAGGTGTTGAAAGAAAGTAAATGGGATGTAAATACATCCCACCAATCAAGATCAAAGCAACTTAACGGAATAATACACAAAATAATACTCGTGCTGCAAAAGAACAACTGAGAACAGAAAAAGAACACTAAAGAAGGGAAAACCTTTATCCTGTCATCGCTGCTGAAACCATCAAGCTGATTGAGCAACTCTAACATAGTCCTCTGCACTTCTCTGTCCCCACTAACTTCACTGCAAAAGAGGAACATATAATCTTTTATCAGCCATTAGACGGCACCACAATCCTCGGTGAGAGGTATTGTCAGTTACTTCACCCAAAACATCAACAGTGAAGGGAGACAAGAAGCAAGGGAAAGTTCATTAGGAAAGTAAGCACCTACCTATCAAAACGCTTCGTACCAATAGCATCTATCTCATCAATGAAAATGATGCAAGGAGACTTTTCTTTAGCGAGTTGAAAAGCATCACGAACAAGCTTGGCTCCATCTCCAATGAACATCTAAATGCACAAGAATTTGATTATAGTACGCCGATGAAGGAAATAAACTTAAAAGCAACAAAAAAGCAGAGTTTCAATGCACCACAATACATGTTCGTTTTAGACTAGCAGCACAAATAGATATTACACACTGAAAGAATGTAATATAGTATTACATTTACAAGAAATTTAACTGTGGTACTGTAAATCAAGATAATGCATCCACCAAGCCAAAGCAACCAAAGCATCAACATCAGTGAAAGGAATCTTGACAACACTATACCTGTACAAGCTGGGGACCTGCTAGCTTCAGGAACGTGGCATTTGTTTGCGCTGCGCATGCACGGGCCATTAAAGTTTTTCCTGTCCCAGGAGGACCGTATAAAAGAACTCCTTTTGGTGGACGAACACCTAACTTCTGAAATCTCTCTTTGTGCGTCATAGGCAACACAATTGCCTCAACTAATTCTTGAATCTGCAGCGTACCCAAAACAGTTCCAGGAAAAGTTATATTCAACAGATATTAACAAGAATCAGATCAGCCTTTATTAATTGATCCTAAAAGGAATACTTGCCTGTTTCTCCAAGCCTCCAATATCATTGTAGTCTTCAGTTGGTTTCTCATCAACCTCCATAGCCTTAACACGGGAGTCATATTCAGATGGCAATGTATCCAGGATGAGATAACTGTCTTTGTTTACTCCAACAAGATCCCCAGGCTTCAGCTTATCAGGATCAACCAAACCTACTACAGGCAGGAAAATCGTCTGCAATTTACAGATTACAGAAACCAATGAGTATCTTAAGATCAGAATCATGGATTTGACATACATCTTAAATCCAGTAAGATGTGCTATATAGGTAGAAACTGCAAGATATTTCCTTCAGATGTCCACCGTTTATATGTATCTTAAAGCAGATATGAAGAGAAGAAGAATACCACTCTTGAAATCTTTATACTTCCAAACTATCACCGTGGAGTTTCCAAATGATAAAAATAGAAATTTATTTAGATTTGCTGAGCACCATAATTCATAAACCTAGTGAGCCAATTCCTTTCAATTTGATGAAGATTGAACATGACTTTTCTTAGAGTTGGCAAATATCATTGTTCATTACTCTACTGACAAGTGTTCAGAAAAAGCTAAAATGCGAAATGTACACGCAAAAGGCTCCACACCAAAACTCACATAGATGAAAAAAGATGAAGGGGGGGTGGAGAAGGGTAGGCAGATAAATACATGAAACATGCCATTTACGGATTTACCTGGCGTGTGGATGTTTTTAGCACAACACACTTTCCCTTCCTTTGCGAGTCAAGATCAATATTTGCACCATCCTCCTCAGCTTCTTCCTCAGGGTTCATTTCCAAAATCTGAGAAAAAATGTGCTGATCCCGTGAGTCCACAAAAAACCAACCGATACCTGAAGATACTGAAGCTATCTAGAAAATCATAATCAAAATATGCATAAAATGTCCTTAGTAGATCTCATGATACAGACTCTGAGAGCCGATTGAAGTTCACCAAAGCAGATATCATATTAGTACTGGATAATAGTATAGTAGTTACCAAACATTCTTATTGTCGGTACACCTTCCTTAGATGGGCATATTATTCAGAATGACATAAAAACTGTAAAGATAGAATAACTACGGGCACGCACGAAAGGCGTAAATGGAGGCATATAAATCTTCTGAAAATCTGACAACATTACAAAACTGAAGCATTCAATTGCACAAGCCAAGCACTGTTAATAATCAAATGCCAACGGGTGCATTTATACCGAACACGAAAACTCGAAACCCTAGCCCAAAAGTATAAAAAAAACCCAATTCATTTTGCATTTCCTGTCTTACCCCAAAAGTCTAAACAACCAACCAAAGATATCAATAAAAACAACAAAAAAACCCTTCTTGTAAAGAGTACAGAGACCGGGCATATCAAGCAAACAGTTAAGTAAAGTCACAAAATAAATACCTCAACAATGTTGCCGACCAAGTAAGGAAGCTGCTTGTTCAGCTTGATTTTTTCCTGATTCTCTTTTATCTTCTCGCGGAAGGAATCCAACTCCAGATTCGTTCTCTGCAACTCCTCCTGTTAAAAAAAAATGGCAGCAAAATCATCGTACAGCGACTCAAAAAAACCCTCGTCCAGCTTCAACAATTAAAATTCAAATTTCCAAATCCAAACAAAATTATTCCACCCCCACCCCCGCGGCTATCAAAATCCGAATTAAATCGACGAAACATCGTGAAAATGAACCTTGAGGATTCGGATTTCGTTATCGAGGAGGCGAGAGGCGCGTGTGATGTCTTCCGTGGTCATAGAAGAGAGCGTGTCGTCCTCGAAATTGTCTTCCACCATCGGCGTCGCCATTTCCGATCAACTGCGCTTCGATTCAAGTCTGTGTAGAGAGAGAAAGAGGAGAGAGAGAGTGAGTTTTGGAGAGTCGATTCGAACTGGTTTAACTTGTGCAAGGGGAATGGAATGACATTGATTTTGTATACGGAAATGGGCTGAGCAATGGGCTTTTGATTATTTGCATAAAAGGCCCACCATTTGTGGTGACATACAATTCGGCCCATAATAAATCTATTTTTGTATCTGAAATGATTTACGCGGCAGCAAAAATTACGAACGTCCTTCACAATAGTCTTCTCTTTCTCTCTCTAAAAATCCTCAAATCCAGCCAAACCCCAAAATCCCCAAAGCCCCAAAATTCACAAAAAATCCTCAACCTCTCTCACAAATCCTCTCAAATCTGAAAATCTCGTCAATTTGAAACGTAATTAATCATCTAAAGTATATATATAGATGAATTTGTGTTAATCATGAAAAAAAATCCCATGAAACTGTCCAGATACCGGCGTTTGGTCCGAACGCTCGAACTAATTTTCCACGCCCATTTTGGGCGTGGAAAATTACTTCGAGCGTTCGGTCCAAACGCCGGTTCTGGACCGGTCGTCCGGTTCTTTTTTTTTTCCCAGTATAACCGAATTGAATGAGTATAATTAAATTAGTATTATTTAAAAGACTTGCTGTAGCTTAGTTGGATAGGTGTTTTATCTATTACACAATAGATCCGCGTTTGAATCACAGTAGCAGTGTATATTTGTTTATTTTTTGCCCAGTATAATGAAATAGATAATTACAGTTAAATAAGAATTTATTGCTGATATGACTGTAGCCTAGCTGATTAGGCAAATTAGAACTTTAACAGAAGGAGATCGTGTTCGAGTCCTTATAGTAGCACAAATATATGATTATTTTTTTTTTTTATTTAAACTCATTCAGCACGCGCGCCCAAACCGGGCGTGGATAGCTATGTTGGGTTCCCAAACCGGGCGCCGAAAGTGCTTTTCTGCGCCCAAATCGGGTGTGAATCGAGTTTTTTTTCGCCTAAGTTTGGTGGTGAAACGTATTTTTCGGCGTCCAAATTGGTCGTGAGTCGCGTTTTCGCGAATTAAAGAACAAAAACGAACAAATTTTACCCCATTGGGTTCCGTTTCTCGATCCTCATTCGATGCATTCATTTTTCTTTGCAAATTGCTACAATAACATGGGTTTTGAAACGATTTCTAATATAAAAGCTATTAAAAATAAAATTGTAGAGAAAGAAAGATAAGTAGAGAGTAGATTTTTTAAACCCGCATTCGTAATTTTGCTACCGCGAATATCACCTCCCTTCTAGAAATGATTACATAAATCTCTTTTATTTTGGATAGTATTTTTAGATTTCTAAAATTTTATAGTTTAATTTTCATCGCAATAAATACTGACTTAAAATGCTTCTTGGAGTTCTAATTCTTGAAATTCATGCATTTCATTTCTTACGTTCAAACACTAAACGATATTTTTTTTCTAGAACCACTTGTTGATGCAATTGAAGTGTTGCGTAATAAAGTTGAAAGAATGATCAAGTAATAAATTCAAAAATATCTATATTTATATCATATATATAAGGGTAGAAATGTAATTGTGCTACATAAACTAACGATGTTAAAGGTTTGAGAATTGACAATTAAGTTGATGGGCCACTCTATCACATTTTATAGTACATGAGGTATATGCGGTACTAATGATAATGTAGGGGTGCAATTTGTATTTAACCCATCTGGAAATGATAAATATCGGACGTCTTTTTACTAAACGTAGTTCTTCAATTTTAACTTTTAATTATTACCCCATCCATTTATCACTTTTGCAACCCTGCAGATCAATTTATTAATCATCCACAATATTATTCAAGCATAAAGATAATAAAAATAAATATTATTACTTATAGACACAAACCCAATTCTAAAGATAACAACTAACAATACTCAATCGTTCTTAAAATATAAAAAGGAAATGTAAAATTAACTTGGATTGAAGAACTTGAAGTGGGAATCTTTAAATTTGCTAGGATCAATTTATACCAAGATGAAGTTCATATTCTTACTTTTTAATTTTAACTAGTATTTATTCTCGTGCGATGCACCACGGGGTGACATTTAAAAAATGAGAAAAATAATGATTTACGTACATGACGTGAAAAAGAGCATATTGGAAAAAAATATTAAGACCAAATGTTAGAAAATAAAAAAAATCTTTTTATGTAAAAAAGTATAAGAATTCATAGTTCGGTAGCAAATTTGTTGTTGGGGTGCTTTTCCTTGTATTGTTTCCGAAAGTCTTCAACAAAAACAAAGAAAGCACTTGGATCCCATCCCTCTTTTGTCTTGTTTGGCAACAATGCATACGGATGCTACGGAACTATTTCGTCCAAAAACGCGATTGTAATCGATAATGATACTCGTATGAATTACATCTTTACCTCCCATATTAACTCCAACGATGACATGGGTACCATATAATTCTTCAACAATAGGTTAAGGTATCAGCAACAGCAAAACTAAATGATGAAGACTCGAAATATATGCCAACTACTATTTGGATTGTTAAAAAAACAGAAACCATTTGTCTTATAAATTACTGAGAAGAGGTATCATTCATGAAATGTATTTATTTACATCAAGAAAATTATGATGGTGATAGGCAAAATGAGGTTGGAGCTAATCATCTAATGAAGCAAGAGCAACAGGATCCCAGGTAGATCGAACTTCTTATTTCACTTTATCAAATAATAGCTATTTCTCAGTTTCTCCAACTAAATCCAATACAAACTTAACCAACCATCAAAAGCGAGCATTTTGGGGGTAGATGAATCGTTTCCACCCATCTTGAAAATAAAACATTGCATTGAACGGCTCAAAAGTCAACGATAATTTCTGGTTAAAATGCTCCGACATCCGAAACAAATATTTCATCTGTAGTGTCTCATAAGATGGTAATAACACCAAATTAACTATATACCATATGACACCCTATGTTCACTACTTGAGAATAATATATATGTTTATAATTTCACAATTTAATACTCCAATCAAATTTTGTTGAAAAGAACTAAAGGGTGACTAATTGGATAAAAGAAGAGGCCATAAATGCGGGTTTCTTTTATTTGCTGGTCGATATCATGTTTTATCAACCAAAAATATATAATCAAGATAATCCAAATTGAATATAAATAATTTACCTTCAAAATCTCATTCGATACCTTTCAAAGTAGCTTGAAAGTAATTTTGGCCTCACTCACACAATTATTACTATCCACTGCACATAAAAAGATAAAAAGAGAATTTTTATTATTATAATAAAAATTAAAAAAAAATCTCGATTAGGGGTGTTGGTAAATGATTAAAGATAACAAATCCCTGTTTTAGAAACAACCTTAAGAATTATTCTAAAACACAGTAAAAGAAACAAAATAAATTCAAAGTATCCAAATTTAATTCTCAATACACCACGATTCTCAGTACAGTACTCTACATCGAAGTTATGTTCACTCTGAATTTATACATCAGAAACCATTATTTGGTTCTTGAATTCCAGGAAAAGTGAGCATTCAGAATATTAGCACCTAGATGAAAACTTCAAATCAAACGGAATCTTGCCACTCCGTACAACCATAAAAGCAGCCGAACTCATCACCATCACAAAAATGCCATGATTGTGTTTTCTTGAAAATAAACGCATATATTAGAGTGAAACACTGATTCTTCATGTGTTAGGAGAAAATGCGATAAGAAAAATAAGAGGTGAAAAGAAGAGAAGAAAGAAAATAAAAAAACGTAAGTGAGAAGAAGAAGAAGAAAATAAAAGAGAAACTCACACCCCGAGTCATGAGATATCAGGGAACACCAAAGAGGACTCCGACAGTAGCCATGCCGCCGGCCACGGCAAATAATGGCCCTAGTTCCACCGCCTCCGGCTGCTCCACGCGATCCATTGGGTGTCTTCGTATTAAGAAAGTAATCGGAATAATTATTTTTTTAGAAAGCAACGTCAATAAAAGAAGCTTTCTTGAAGAGATGGTGCTATAGCTAGTATAAGTACATAGAAGGAAAATATTAGAAAAAATCAAGTTCTAAAAACAAAATACATAACCTCGAAAAAGAAATGAAAAAGGTCTTCTTGAAGAAATAAACCTTGAGTAATTAAAAGGGAAGAAAAAGGAAATTTAACGAAATAAATCAAATTTGTCGATGGATAAGAAAAAGAAAGAATATATATTATTTAAAATAGCAGATCGTGTTCAAAGATCATGATAACGTGGGAGAGTGGGTTTTTTTCTAGAGGGTATTGCGTGATGAAGTTGAGAGTAGTTTGTTTATCGTGTCAATAAAAAAAATTGCTGATAAAAAACCTCCAAATTAACCAACCAAAATGAAAAGACAGAAAAGCCCTTAGGGTTATAATATTTTACAAAATTATTTCTAGGGTTTGGGAAAAACTTTTTTTTTTTATATATAAAGATTATCTAGGGATGTGAATGAGTTAAACTGACTCGTTAGCCTAATGAGTCGATTCAATAAATGCTCATTATGCTATTTATATTTTAAATCAACATTAAAACTCGTTGTTGGCTTGTGAGCTCATGAATACTTAAAAGTGAGTTCGAGCACAAAAGAATGCCTCTTCTCACCATTTCGATAAGAATCGTATTCTATTGTTACGACTTTGTTTGTTTGTAATGCGAGAGTACATAGTCAACTATATAAATGCATTAGATAAACCTATAATTTTGCATAATAATAGCTTGCAAGACGTAAACCAAAGTGGGCTGCTAGTGTGTAGACTTATGATTCTACCATAACGTGCATTAGTATTTTAATTAATCATGAATATATCATTTTATTTAATCATATTAATAATACAAGAGTGAAGAAGAGAAACACAAAAATTTGCAAACAACACGCATAATATTACAATCTCTTGCTATCGGTAGTGGCGGCGGAGGTGGTGGTTCTACAGCTCTTGCTTGGTGGTTCTGACGACACCCTCCCCTGAATTAGTGCTCTTCTTCTGATCATCATCAGCAACAATGTCAATCACTTTGGCCTCCTTCCTCAGTTTATCGCCGGCCAATTTGGGCACGGTGATCCTGAGCACACCGTCTTCAAGGCGAGCACTCACCTTCTCCACGTCAGCATTCGCCGGCATCCTGAACTGCCGCCAGAACTTCCCGGCGGTCCGCTCCACCCTGTGCCACCGCTCGTCCTTCACTTCCTCCTCCGTCCTCCGCTCGCCGCTCACCCTCAGCACGCGGCCCTCCTCCTCCACCACCTCGATCTTCACGTCCTCCCTCTTCATCCCGGGAATGTCGAGGGATATCTCGTGCGCCGCCGGCGTCTCCCTCCAGTCCGCCCGCGCCAGTGCCACGGCGGCGCCGTCGTCGTCTCTGGAGAGGGCGGCCAGGGGGGAGTGCTCGAGGATCTTGAAGGGGTCCTCCGGCGGGAACATCATCAAGTCCCAGATCGGGGAGCGCGTGTAGGGCACGAGCGCGGTGGTGGTGGTGGCGGCTGGCAAAAGAAACGCCACCAGGGCTAAGAATGTGATCGTCATCATTGTGAGGTTCTTTGCTGTCTCCATTTGCTGATATATATATATATATATATATATATATATATATATATATATATATATATCTTTGCTCTGTAGGAAGTGTGTGTGAATTAGTGGTGCTGGTTGGGGTATTGAATGTGTGAGTTTTTTCTTGAGCGAAGGAGAGAACTGAGATGGGGATTTATAGAAGTGGTGTACATGGTTCTAGAGGGTGACGTCAGGTGTTTACATGGTTCTAGAGAGAGAGAGAGAGAGAGAGAGAGAGAGAGGACATTACATTGTTCTAGAGAGAGAGAGAGCGAGAGAGAGAGAGAGAGGAGTAAACTCTGGAAAGGTCACGAGTATTGATATAAATGAACTTACTTCTCTAGCTACTCAAGTAACTACTTTTTCAAAACAAGGCTTATGATATATGGTATGAAAATGAAATTTATGCGTACTGTACATAGTTTATAATTTTCGCCCTCTTTCAAATTCATTTATCTACTGTCATGGATGGTTATGATGTCTATCTTAGAAAATCATATATACAGTTAAACTTTTATAAATTAATACAGTTAAATTTTTATAAATTTATATAGTTGAGATTGATAAAATTCTACTAATTTAGCAAAATATTAAATTATCGAGCTAATAATTTAGTACGATTTTATCGAGTTGGGACCGTAAAAAATTATTATTTAAGCGAGGTTGCTAATTTATCGAGGTTCTACGATATATAGAGAGGGTAAATTCCACTTTCCCCCTTATATTTGGCTTGATATCTCTTTACCCCTTCTACTTGCGACTGCATCGATTTGTCCCTGCTGTACTTGGAAAAATTGTCTCAATGTGGTTATCGCCATTGTTTCAAACATTTGACATTAACACCGTTTGATCTAAGTTTAATAATTACAAAAAAACCACCCTTCCCAATTTAAATAATTATTAAAAAAAAAAAAATTTAATAAATAAAATAAAAAAATAAACTGTGGTTAGCGTCGTGGATTATGTTTTCTCATTGTCTTGATTTTTTTATTTTTTTATTTTTTCGTTTTTTTTTTTGTTTTTTTAATAATCATTTAAATTGAGAGATGTGACATTTTTATAATTTTAGATCTTAGGTCAAACGGTGTTAATGTCAACGGTCTGACAACTAACATCGAGGGCCATATTGAGACAATTTTTCAAGTACATTGACAAATCAATGCAATCAAGAGTAAGAGGAAGTAAAGTGATACCAAACAAAGTAGAAAGGGAATTTTACCCATATATAGTCTAAAATGATTTTACTATAATTTCAGAAAATCCAATCAAGCCACAATTGCATTTGCTATACACAAGTAGTACAAGAAAAACAAAACAAACCCTGTATTTCATTCACTCCAAAGGGCAAACATCAATTTACCCCTTCAACAAATTAATCTACATCCCAACCACCATGTGTTGTGACAGGGAAAAACAACACCAAATGCACACACAACAATAGAACTTACAAGGCAGCAACATTTTTCAGTTGCCAAATAAGCTTTTGAATTTAGTAATGCAATCCAACGCTCGGTTGAAATCACTATCCTCGAGCGCAATAGTGAATCGGCAGTATCCCGAAATTCCGGTCCACGAAGCACTATTGATGCACAAGCCAGTGCTACTAAGCATTGCTTCCCTTATATTTTTATCATCCAGCTTTATTTCAAGGCTACTATCGTCTTTATTAACTGTGACCGTTTTGCCAAGGTAGGCTGATGGCTTTGCTAAAACGGAAACGCCCGCTTGAGCTTCAAGCACCTCCCAGCCACTACTTTCAAGTGTCTGTCACATGAACCACAGTCAAGTTAGCATCAGATATTTATCTTTTTACAAGCTGTTTAATACTGATGAATAGGGTCAGAAATTAAATCAAACTACTCAGATACTCCATTCGGGGATCGATATTCAGTAAAATCTTGTTTGAGCTCGATCCGATAACACAAACAGCACATATTTTTTAGCAATTCGATATAAAAATGGGGGTACTAAATGCAATAAATTCAAAAAAAAAAAAATCAAGAAATTTGAGCTCGATTTGTGTTCGGTTTGGTTAAAGCTCGTTCGAAGTAAATGTCGAGAAGTGCCAAATTAAATGTTGCAGTTAGTAAAACCTATACGGAATTAAAAAAAATAAAAATCAGTGCGAATGAATGATGTTTGTAGGATGCAAGAGATTTTACCTGCTTCAATTGTTTATATCTACTTCCCAGAATCTCCGTCTGTTCAGCTATAGCGTCCAATAGATTCCCCGTTTTTTGCTCTGCGAGATCCAGCAATTTCTTCACCGTGTACTTGATAGTGCTGTGAGGTTTGCTTAATCCGGCAAAGCTATGGAAAACATCCGCCAGAGAAGGCTCGTTTATGAGAAGAAATCCAAATTTAAGCCCACTGCTAAGCATCTTAAAAAACAATCCCCCAAGTAGAGATACACAAAAGTTTGGATTAGAAGATGAAAGTTTCTTAAGGGTAGCTTCCAGATTCCATCCAGCAAAGCCTTTGGAATTGAATTCCACGCCCGAAAATGAAGTGTCTAAAATAACTCTTGCTCCAAACTTAGCACATACAGATAATAACTCGGTTATCTCTTCGTTACTGTAAAGCAAGCCAGTGGGATTAATAGTCGGACCAGAAATGTAGATCCATGGTTTGTTAACACTCTCCAATGCAGCAGTAAGTGTTTTCTCTGTTAACTTGTAACCTGCCTCTGCATTTGTCGGAATGCTCGCAATTTTCGCCTTCAAGAATTTTGCAGCAGATACATAATTTCCGTTGGTACCGGTCGGGAAGCACAGAGTACCACCCTCTTGAACACAGCACAACACCAACTTAGTGAAAAGTGCCACAGGACAGTCGGCATAAACGAAGTCAGTGTTGCTATCGGATGGATAGCCGTAAGTGCTGCTGACCAATTGTCTAATGCCACATGTCACATCGGTTTCAGCTTCTGTTATATTCTGTCTTGCGAAACTCTCGAAGATGGCAGCCTTAACTGGTGTCGTTATGGGCAGAAAGCTTTGGTCGATATCCATATGAATCAGTGAAGAGTCGTCAGATTCGTTTATTGATAACTCGGCATCATCGAATATTTGGATAGTTGAGCTGGAAAATCCATTGACCTCAGTAGCACTAGTCTTCTCCCCCTCTCTCTAAAGAAAGTGATAAATGAAAAGTGAAAAAGAGTTCGATTATCTACAAATTTAAAATAAAAACATTCTCCAAGTAGATTAACCTGTGAAGGTGGACGTCGATCGGCAAGCTGAAAAGCTAGAAGCTCGTCGAAAGTTAACCATAGTAGTATTGACTAATTATTGCAGTGCTTCCTTGTAAAAGTCAACAGTCTTGCTTAGAGCTCTAAACATTTCCTTCTCCTCTGATATTACAAAAGCCACTTCTAAATCTGTATAAACCTGGATTCCAGAGAATAATTAACGAGGTCGAAGGAGCGTACAGACTGTATATATCCTTAATGTTAGTAAATAAATGTATACCTGATTTTTCAGTAAACTGCAAACGATTGTTGCATGTGGAGGCAGGGGATTTCGAGCGAGATACTTGAGGACTCCATTGGAGCTGGGAAGGCTAGAGAGCTCAAACTGGTCTGATATGTCCAAAAATAAACGAGATCCAATATCTCTTGTTGTGTCTAATAGATGCTCAAATGATGAACTGGTAACTGACTCGAACTGAGCCATCCCAGTGACTACTACCTCTGGCCTCAACTTTTTTATCAGCTCTACCATCAAGTCTGACTGACGTGGCGCTTCGATGACTGCAATTACTTCCTCTGAGTTTTCTCCTGTTTCCGTCTTCTGCAAAGGGAAAAAGGAAATTACGAAAAAGAAGAGTTTCACTAGGGAACACCCGGAAATTCAGCGACAAATATTCAATATTGTTTCTTCAAAGCATCTTAAGGTGAACATCAAGAATGTCAGCTGCCTATCACGATGGCTGTTATAATATTTTTTTCATACACATATTAATATAAAACAAGCTGAATTCGAAGGCAATGATATTTAAATTTTAGAGAAATAAGAAAGATCTAATAGTGATAAAATGGACGCAAAATGACTTTGGCACCTCCATACCTCAATATCTAAGGTTGTTAACCATTCCCTCGGTAAGTATCGGGATAATTGTTCATCAACGACGGCAAGACGCGGTGACAGCAAACGGAGAGCACTTTCGATTGCCACAGATCTAGAAGGAAACACAACCACATTCTAGCCCACCAAAATAGAAGAAGAAAAGATCACGATCAGAAATAAAAAAAAAAAGGTGAAAATATTGTTCATGAAGCGTTTGTGCACAGTGAAGACAAATTGTAGAACTCTCCATAGACAAATGAAATTTGGAAAGATCTTCCATAAAAAAATGAGCAGCAAGAGTAACCAATCAAAAATAAATATAAACTAAGTGGAAAAATGTCCATAAATATATCATCAGCAGTGTGTGCATGTGCATTTATGTTAAGGTTTCATATCGGGTTTCGTATTTCCAGAATTTCAAGAGTTCATCGGTCTTGACTATAGCCCCACAAATAAGCCAATTAAACACTTGGGAAAGCAAAAACCAAAATAATCTTAGGTAGCTTGAATCACTATGAATAAGAGCAATAATGTACTGTTAGAGCAACCTCGAGAGTTACAGTTTTACTTACATCTGCAGTAAGCGGGATATGATGGTATGTTCTCATAAAGCGAGCAATAAGACTACGAAATCGTCTGCTTCCTGCTGGTGGTTCGTAAGGGAAAAACGAAATGTCTTTTAAAACATTGGCAAGATAAGCCAAGAATGGAATCTTCTCATCTGCAACAGAATCATCTTCGAAGGACAAATCTAACGAGCTTCTGATATCACTGAGTCCATTTTTGAGAAACTCAAATATCTTTTTTACCTGTCAAAGCAGCAGCCACTATCAGGCTCACTATCTCTTTACCGAACTGATTCCATTACTGTTAATTTTCTAAGTGTACCTACAAACTTCTATTCATGGAAAAATTCCCAAACCTGATTAGGTTGACGTATTTGACAACTATATACTGATAAAGCATGAGAAATACGGCCACCCGATTCTGCATAAGCCCATGCTGTTCGGGCACAAATCGGTTGGTCTCCAGCAAGTCCCATGAAGAACTCGAAACGGTGGGGACCACTTTTTTCGATTTCAACTAAAGCTGAAATATCCGTGTCAGCAGCCTGCAGTAAATAGGACATCTCTGAAAATGTATTGCTTGATTGGATACAAAAAGTTCCTTAAAGTTAATGTTAGAACCTGAAGAACTTTGGTCTGCCAAAGCTTGTTAACACGGAGACCACGCCTTTCAAACAAACGTTTAGATACAGCTTGTCCAGGGCGACCTCCCATGTTAAAGATCATAATTCCGAGAGGTTTTATAACAGATATCCCTTCTTCAACGGCTCTGGCAATGAGACCTAAACCGAATTGGTCCTCCACAAAACCCTAAAAGAACAAGTAAGAGCTCAAGAAATAAGTGAAAGCAGCTCTGTATGCTTTCGAAATAGACATGAGCACATTAGGAATAAAATAAGAATAGATAGTTGAAATAGCACACAACCTGAAGAGCACAATAGTTGCTCAGAGAATGTAAGAATTCTTCGCTAGCATTCTCCGTAATTATTTTTGACATTGCATCTGGATTAGGGTTAAGAATCTGCAAGCGGAACAAAATGAGAAACATTCGAGCATCTATAAAGAGTCATTTTCTAACAACCTTAGAATAATGTCAAAACATTGACAAAAATGATCAGCAAAATGTGTGAAAACCATTTCATGAAAATACCTGTGGTATGCATCCAACAATACGCTCGAGTTCTATGTGATTATCTTTGCAGTAAGATAGCAAATCAGACTCATAAAACTCAACCCTGTCCAGTAAAGTTTTTTGCTCGCCGTCGTAAATTGGTTGGCCGTTGTCATCCAGAGCATTCAAATATAAGTTTATCCAAGAAATCTTCACTGCTCTTGGATTTATATCAAGCCCATAAACCTGCAAAATAGTATTTTAGCGCAATGTTAGAAGACATGCATAACGAATTAGGTTCTTCACCGGAGAAAAGATGCAACGACAAGAAAAAGGCATTCAGAAAAATAAAACATAATAGTACGATTAAGGAATCATGAACCTTCAAGGGTGACCACTTTTCTGCAATTGCAATGGATATCCATCCATTTCCACAGCCAAGCTCAGATACAGTCTTGTCCTTGAAAATGGAGTCTGGATGTCTATTGAGTCCCTCGTAGAAAGTGAAGGACCAATCCTCGGGTACAAAGATACTCGGTATTACCATCATTATAAGTTTCTTCCTCTTCTGGAAACCTGTAACAGGTGATAGGAAAATGTCGAGGCAGCAAACAAGTGCAAACTATTAGAGCAAAAAATGTTTAAAACCTACATCAGTATAGTACAATCACACATTAAATTGATCAACATTCAAATTCTACGGAAACCGAGGGAAAACTAAGGCCAACAATAAAGTAGTACAGATACATTTAAGCTGCACAATCTGAAATTGGGATTACATCAAATCAGATACACGAAGGAGAAACATAGCATGTCGAAATTCAGTTAGCCGCTAACATAAGCCTGAGGTTCGTTGAAGATATAAAATAGTATTTTTATCCAATACAGCTACTTGCAACTGATTTGTGGAGGCACTGAAAAGAATATTTCTAATTCCAAGCTTATCTTGAGCTTATGAGAAACTCAAAAGTTACAAACAAACTTAAATTAAGGGAATCACAGGCACAGTTAGTTTCCTTTGCTATCGGCATCCTTAGTGCTCTAAACTATAGCAGTTACTATTTGCAAGAGTAGAATGTACCATACTTCACATAATACTCGAAAACACGAGATTTTACTCACTGCATTACAATTCAGTTAAATTCTCAAAATCGTTGCGATTGTAGTACCATTCTGTATTCATAATTTCATATCATGTTATTAGTATTATATAAAAAAAAATAGAGACCAAGAAAGTATCGGTGAATAAGCAATCGATGCAGTGCCAGTCAAAGCCATTTTTCTCTGTTCCGGAAGAAGGCATATTCCATGGCCTCAATAATTGAACCATCCTACTTGAGGTTCATATATAATTATATACAAAGTCATGATATCGACGTTCAACAATCAATTTGGGGGTCCAGAATTTGAGACTTTTTTTTTCTTTCTTTCCATGAACAATATCCAATAACCATAATCGAAATTTCTGTCCCCAAATTAACCTCCCCCACACAAATTCTCCATCAAATCACACAGCAAGCATACACCCACAAAAATACACGCGTATATACAAATACGATACATCCGTACATTTATACGTATATATGCGGAATGCGAATACTAATCGAAGTCGAAATGGTGCGATTACCTTCGTATTGTTCGAGATAGATTTCCTGAATTTGGAAATGGTAGGTCTGGAGGCAGCGTTCGGAGGCTTCCTTGGAGTTGAACCGTTTATGGAGCTCCGATAGGAAGATCCGAGCATCGGTCCGGGTAGTCGGATCCTCGAGCCGCTCAAGGAGTGATCGGAGCGCACTGTACGCTGCGTCGCCGGACTGTTCGCACTGGTTCAGAAATTCTTCCATTGTTCAACGCTGATCACTGTGTGTGGTGTGTGTGTTTGCAGAGGACTGAAGAAGAAGAAGCTGTGGTGTAATATGGCGTGGCTGTGTGTGTGTATATATATATATATATATATATATATATATATATATATATATATATATATATATATATATATATATATATATATATAAAATTAGACCGAAATTCAAAATATTGTTAGATATTTTAATTCATTTATTTTTATTTTATTTCTTGTAAAGAATATTCATATTTTATTGTATATGTGGTAAATGGTAATAGTGCTCTCCTAGCTGTTTTAACTTTTACCTGTCAACTTATTATTAATAATAATAATAATAATAATAATAATAGTAAGGGGCGGATATATGCAAGCCCATTTTTTTATTAGTTCAAACACACATAAAAGAGTTTATTAGTTCAAGCCCGTAAATTAATTTAATTTTATTACATCAAAACCAAACATGATGAATATACCATTATCAATAAATAACACCCCAATAGAAACAAATTTTATTTTTCATTTGTTCAAGACAAAAAAAAAAAAAAAACAAATAGAGAAAAAAAAAAGAAAAAAACTCATAATTGCCGCCACCAGACCGCCGAGACACCGACCAACGAGACTTTCACCGCGCCGGCGACGACCAGCGACCCAACCACCGCACCATCACCACCACCCCACCACCACCAACAAGTCATTTTTATTAAACTTTTGTTTGTTAATTCAAAAACATTAATCGAGCATCGATTATTGATAAATATGCGTAGATGAACATTAATCTATATTTACTTCTTGTTGGGTTGCAATGCTTTAGCCGATTTTGGAAAAAAAATTAAGATTGAATTTTTTTTTTTTTTTTGTGTTTTCGTTGGTTTCCCAAATTGGTTTATCCAGACCGATTTTGTACATGAAAATCGGCGTTACAATGTCGATTTTTGTTAACCAAATCGGCGACACAACGCCGACTTTACAAGTCAAAATCGGCGTTGTAACGCCGATTTTTTTGTTTTTATTTATTTATGTTTTTTATTTGGTTTTGAATTTCATTAAGGATAATTAGTATTTTATGTTGAAGGTCTTGAACTAATAAAAAAATGGGCTTGCATATATCCGCCGCCTAATAATAATAACAATAATATCAATAATAATAATATAATTATATCAAATATGCAACTATATATTACAAGTACATTATAGCTTAATTCATATAACAAATTGTAATTGAAAATAATAATAAGTTGACAAAGTAAAATACAATTACAATAGCAGACAAACTATACGAGAGATGTAACAATCACTAGAATGTGCACCGATAAACTACATCCTCGTATAGCTTTTCTTACTTCACTATCTAGACACTCTTATAACAACATATTTGCTGTTTAATAAGTTGAATTTAAGATGTAACTAATTATTTCTGTCAATGTTAAAAAGTTATTCTAACACAATTAATCATTGGTGTTACTAAATAGAATTGAGTAACATATGATCCAACTATCTTAGATGGTTGCAATTAGCATATAGAGTTAATTAACACATGATATAATGGTTAATATCTTAATCATTTTCTTAATCATTTCCCTACCACTAATTTAACGAGGGAGGAGCTTTAAACGGGAGCAATTATTATCACCATTAGCTCAATTAAAAGAGAGCATGCATCCCAATGATCGTTACTTTATCCTTTTATAGTTTTATTTAAATAATTCATCATAATTGCCTTTTTTTTATGAGAAAGATTAATTAGTGTAAAGTATAGACATCCGTTTGTATCGAAGTTTTAAAACTCGGATCGGACACTGATCCGGACAAACAATTGGGTCATAGTTGGACAGGTTCAATCGATTTTTTATTTTTATTTTTTTTCAATAATCATTTATATTTATTTGTTATAGTGAATGAATCATACTTTTATTAGGCACATTAACTTATTGAATCATAAATTAAGCCTAGTTTTCTTTTATACACAACACATCAACACACACACACAAACATCACAACCCAATCACTTCAAATATTATAGAAATTATAATCTGAAATAATATATTTTCCTTTTCCAAAGTTTTTTATTTTGATTAATTTTTTTTCTTCATCTGGGCAGTAAATAGACGTCATTTTAACTATTTTTTGTTTGTTTATCTTTTTTAAATAAAAAATAGCACAATTTTGGGGAGAAAAAAAACCAAATATCGATTTCACAGTCCAACTAGTCAAACTGAACCAGGCAAAGCAACGGTTTGCGGTTTACCCAGTTCAACCGGTCGATTCAGTCCGGATTTCAAAACACTATTATGTATCATGTCGTCCATATAATTCTATTCAACTTGAAATAAGATATTTTTTTTCTTTTGTTATTTTTGACCTATTATATTTGTATACCTAATTGTTGATACAATATATAATATGAAAAAGTAGTGGTCGCGCTTTTTTTTTTTTCTCTAAAAAAATACATATATACGTAGGAATATTCTCCTGCGCATGAAGTTTTCAACTTTTCAATAATTTCCAATTTCCTTTAAGATTTATAGTTATTTATTCTTAGGTGGTGTTAGTTGGTGTTAGCAAAAGCTTTGAAAAATGTGTAAGTTATTGATTGTGATTAAAATTTGTTATTTCTAAAAGTTGAACATATTTTCAAATGTCATCAAATTAACTCTAAACGTTCAATTTATAAGTGTATTGCTTGTTTGAAAGAAAAAAAAAAACAATTTATTTTGGCAAATTATTGGTGGGAATTTTTAATTGAATAAAATAATTAGGGTATTTTAAATGGGTGCATGTTTGGAATGAATGTGTTTTTTCCAAACAACTCGTCTATTTATGAAATAACTCTTTTCATAACAACATATCCATTCACAAAAGGACTCTTAAATATTTATAAATAAGACAAAACCTGATCTGTTTTGCACAAGAAATATTAAGACGTTCGAGAATTTCTTCCTAAAACCCGTCTGTCAAAATTTCGTTCCAACGTTTCTAGTTCGCCGTGAGCTTCGAATTTGTGCAAATATCGAAGTATCCGACTGTTGTATCTTGGGAGACTACCGGGAGTGACTGTTGCACCGTAGACAGCCCGAAAATATTGTCTTAAGGACATTGCTTTTGCAAGCTTCAGTCGATTTTTCGTTCTTCATATTTCCGATTAATTTCTACTTCCAAGTAAGTGTAATTCTTATTCAAATATTTACGCAGATTGTTATATATATACCAACAATTATCTTGAGGCCTCAATATTGAGTTTTTGTCTTTTTTTTTTCAAAATGACAAATTTTCAATGCAATTTTAGAACCAATACAAATAAATTGTTGTAGGTATGTTTTTGGTTTATATATTAAAACAACTTATTTTAAAAGAAGTCAAAGAAAGAGTAGAATTGCCTGAAATTATTTAGAGTTCTTGGATATATTTTTTTCAAATATGTTCCTCGAACAGTTGATTTGTAGGGATACACGAGATACATATAGAAAATGTGTGGTGGAGTGTGGGAAGAGTAATAGGACGATCGGGGACAGTCCAGCGTTTTTCAGGACCTATAGGACGAAATTCGAAAATGAGCGTGTTTGATTCACCTATTATAAACACGCATAAAAATATCGAAGGCTTGAGTTTTTGGTTTAATAATTTAGTTTACGTACATTTAATTAATCAAATAAAATCGATATAATATTTTTTTTCTTTTAAATTTGGAGGCCCAAGAAAAAAGGTCAATTAACATACTATACAATTTAGGGTAAATTCCACTTTACCCCCTTGTACTCTGCCCAAGAACCACTTTATCCCCTCGTACTCTTAATTTCGTCGATTTACCCCCTTGTACTTGTACAATTTCCCAATACAACCCTCTTCGTCAACTTTTTTCGATTTTGACTCTGACTCCATTTGATCAAGAGTCAAAATATTGAGGTAAATATTGAATTTTTCGATTTTGACTATCAAGATTAGAAAAGAGAAAGTTTCACACATTCATATATTTTTTTTTTGCACTGGGTGGAATCGATCAATTTTTGGGTCTTGATTTTTACTAAGTTAGGTGTTCAATTTGGGGATATCTTGGAAGGGGAAGTGGTGGGAGAAGAAGAAATGACAATATTGACGGAGGAGAAACGACGCGTTATAGGCAGTGGCAATTTTGTAATTTACAGAGTTGACCAAACGGCGTCAGAGTCAAAATTGACAAAAGTTGAAGGAAAGGGCTGTATTGGGAAATTGTACAAGTACAAGGGGTAAATCGGTGAAATTGAGAGTACAAGGGGGTAAAGTGATTCCCAGGCAGAGTACGAGGGGGTAAAGTGGAATTTACCCTACAATTTATAGCATGCCCTCTTTTAGGGGTAAATTACAAACACCCCCTGAGGTATGGTCAATTTACGAAAAAACTCTTCTTGTTTGGATAATTACATCTACCTCCTTTAACTATGATCTTTTCTTATACCTCTACCCTTATGGTGTCAAATTCAACATAATCATCTAGATTTCGTGGAATGTGCTCTAGTTTGTACTCGTTTTGTGTAA